ATTATATTATATTATATTATATTATATTATATTATATTATATTATATTATATTATATTAATTATATTATATTATATTATTATACTTTCCTTTTGAATTTGGATTTTTGTTTTGTTTCTTAGTGTTTTTAGAAAACAAGCATTAAAAAGCTCAATAAAATTATATTTTAAAAATATAAATGAACTAAGCCCAAGTAGCAAAATTGAGCAATATAAATATTTTTAGCAATTTCTGTTAATGGGTAAAGTAAATATGCTTTCAATCAGATTAATAATTCAGAACATGGTATTGTGGTTGTTATGAATTTTACTCAACCAGAAAAAGTTGGCATGGAATTATATTTTATTGATTCACTATGTAACTATAGCTATCTCTAGATAGCTATAAAGGTTTGAGTAAGAGAAATGAATGATATGCATTCCATTAGATACTGGATTTACATAATTACATAATAACAGAGTTGGAAGGGACTTTGGAAGTCTTTTAGTCCAACCTCCTGCTTAAGCGGGAGACCCTATATGATTCCAGACAAATGGCCATCCAATCTCTTATTTTATTCTTCATGTAAAAGAAATGTATTGCCTTAATTTACAAATGAAGGCATGACAGTTATCTATTCATTAGAACTATTTCATCTTGTACAATTAACAATGGCATAGATAGTACTTCCTTCTTTTATTTCCCCCACAACCATAATTCTGTGAAATGCATTGGTCTGAAAAAAAGTAACTTTATTGTCTATCTTCCTGTCTGTCTGTCTACCTGCCTGCCTACCTATCTAATTCATCATAATGATATGTTGAATGCAAAAGTCATGGGATAAATTATCCTTTCTAATGAAAAATGCCAAATTTCCAGCAGATATAAGCATAATTTAGAACTGACTACATCAATAGTCCAATTGATGTACAAAACGTACTATTTCATAGATCTCTGTCCTGTTATTGAAGCTCATCCTTCAGGGATAATGTTGGATAACACAAAATGTATGAATATTAGTTATGCATTCATTATGAAAATTAATCTCTTGAAAGACTATAAAGAAAGAACAACCCAATTTGTTTGCTGAAATTAGATAACACAGACTTGTTATGGTTTCAACATTATTTCAGCTTTCGGCTTATAGTACAGTACTGAGAAAGCCATTAGCTAGCTGTTAATTCCCTCTAGCAGATAAGAATTCATGTTGATTAATTGTTTCTGGATTCAACTGAGATATTACATAGATCTTCAAAGTGGTGCTTTGCTTTAATGGAGATTTTAAGTGCCTCCATAAAGTCCTTCAAGTGACTAAGTGCTGCCACTTTGCCTTAGTTGACAAAACTGCTTGTGTTCATGCACAAAAGCTATTGGTAAGGTGGATCAGATGATTGAGGCCCATGACTCAAGTATTCATCAAGACAAAGGAAAGAGCCTCTGCAAGATACTAGAAAAATGTCAAGAAGGAGTAATATACTTCTGTAAGAAAAACACTTCCTTAAGTTGTATTAGCACACACACACCCGCCGCTTCCCCGAGTAGAGGAAACTAGGAAACAACTTCATAGGAGTTATTAAGATGGGATATAAATAACATAATTTTTATTATGCTCCCCCTCCTTTCAGTGAATCAAGGAGGCATTTGCAAGGACCACTTCCAAATATTATTTTGTTTCTCAAGACTTAAATAATGTTTCACCTCCTTTTGCCTTGGTTATGATTCTTGGTTATTTTTGTCAAAATCACTCCTTTACTCTCTATAGCAGTGGTGGGTTTTAAGTCCTGTTCCAACCGGTACGGTTGGAATGGGGCCGCTGGCTTCCTCATGGATGCGAGCAGCGTGTGCGCACATGCACGCAGCACACATATGTGTCTTAGCACCTCTGTGATGCTCCAGATGCTCCACGTTACATTGTGCAGGTGCTCTATGCGCCATGCACCTGTGCGGAAGCGCAGAATCCTTTAAACACTGGTAAGGAGCTCAGGCGGGTGTGTGGACACTCCAGAGCACCATACCGGAACGGTATCCAGTGCTCTGGACTGGCTCCAGTACACCCATACCAGGGTGTACCTTCTGCAACCCACCACTGCTCTACAGGTTGGTCACACTTTTAATACTGTATATTGACATTACATTAATTGTATAAATGGTTCACTTCAATGGAAACTAAGGCAATGAAACTTCCATAATTTCAATAAACA